TACAGATATTACCGGTAAGACTTTAAATATTTCTGAACATAGTTTGAATAACATATGGATAATTGATTCTGGCGCAACCGATCATATGACATTTGTTTCTAGACAAGTCTCTCCTCTTAAACCATCCTCATAAAAATCTGTGTGCACTGCCAACGGTAACACAACTCCAGTTATTGGTGAAGGATCTTTAACCCTCACTGATTCTTTGAATTTAGACTCTGTTTTAGTGGTTCCAGATTTAAATTACAACCTTTTATTTGTTTTCAAAATAACTACAGCTTTATCTTGTGTTGTAATTTTTTGGCCTGAATTTTGTGTGTTTAAGGACATTCAAACCAGACAGATGATTGGTTGTGGTATTAAGCGAGGAAAACTGTACTACTTGGACTTGAAGAAGAAAAGCATCAGCAAGTTACAACAAACTTTGATAGTGAATAGTTTTGAGGAGGAGAAGAAGAAATCTGAAATTTGGTTATGGCATCAACGTTTGGGACATGCTTCTTTTGGTTATCTGAAGAAGTTATTTCCTAGTTTGTTTACACAATGTGATATTTCTAGCTTCCGTTGTAATGTTTGTGAACTACCAAAAAGCCATCGTACTTCATTTCCATTGACATTCAATAAAAGTAAAACCCCTCTTATGCTTATACACTCAGATGTTTGGGGTCCATCCAAAATCCTAAATTTGGGTGGAGCACGATGGTTTGTTACTTTCATAGATGATTGTACTATAATGACATGGTTATACTTACTGAAATCCAAAAGTGAAGTAAAATTATTATTCCAAAAGTTTCATAACATGATTCAAACTCAATACGATGCACAAATTCAGGTTCTTCGTAGTGACAATGGTGGAGAATATCAAAGTATTGATTTTCATCAATATCTTGAAAATCATGGAATCATTCATCAAACTTCTTGTCCCAATACACCCCAACAAAATGGGGTTGCAGAGCGAAAACATCGTCACTTATTGGAGGTTGTTTAAGCTTCTTTAGTACAAGCTAATATGCCTTTATCATATTGGGGAGAAGTACTTACCTCTGCTGCATATTTAATCAACCGGGTTCCTTCTAGCTCAAATAACTTTCAGACACCATTACAGACTCTTATTGAAGCAATAAATGCCCCTGCTGTTCTGAATTTACCTCCTCATGTTTTTGGTTGTGTAGCATTTGTACACCTTCATGCACATCAATGGAACAAGCTGGCCCTAGAGCATTGCGGTGTGTATTTCTTGGCTATGCCGTGTATCAAAGAGCTTACCGATGTTATCATCCCCCAAGTAAAAAAATGATCATAACTATGGATGTAGTTTTTCATGAAGATACAATGTATTTTCCCTCTAAGGCTAAATTTTCAGGAGAATGTCATTAAGAAATTCAGACTCTAGATTATGAATATAATAGTTATGTGAAAGACTACTATGAAATTGGTAACCAGGAAGCAAACAACTCAGATACAAGTGGTATAAGCTTGGATTAAAGTGGCAATGAACACGTCAAAATTGAAGAAGTGACAGACACAAAAGTTGTGAATCCTACTTCACCACTATTTGAAGTATTTGAATCTGATTCTGTTACAGATATACCAAACCAATCGTCTGCTGAAAATGCTCCTACTCTAGATATTGAACCAAATAGAAAACAGTTGCCACAACGTCACACTAGAGGTATTCCTAAATCCACATATGAACCAGTTTTCTCTAATAAAGCTAAATATCCCATGAGTAAGTATGTGTCAACCCATCATTTGTCAGAATCAAATCAATCATTTGTGAATCAATTATCTACTGTGGTTATTCCTAACAATGTGCAAGAAGCCATAGCTGATCCAAAGTGGAAAGCTGCAATGGATGAGGAGATGAAATCCTTACGGGTGAATAAAATATGGGAACTTGTCGATTGTCCAACAGAAAAAAACCAGTTAGATGTTGGTGGATTTACACTATGAAGTATAGAGCAGACCGTACAATTGAATGCTATAAAGCTAGGTTGGTGGCTAAAGGGTACACCCAAACATATGGACTTGACTACACAAAAACATTTGCACCAGTAGCTAAGATAAATACAATCCGTGTTTTGTTATCTTTGGCTGCAAACTTGGATTGGCCCTTGCACCAATTCGATGTGAAGAATGCTTTTTACATGGTGAATTATCAGAAGAAGTCTACAGGGATCTCCCACCCGGATACATGATACAAAAAGGGCATAGTCAGAAGGTATGCAAATTGAGGAAGTCATTGTATGGGCTGAAGCAATCTCCAAGAGCATGGTTTGGAAGGTTCACAAAATCAATGAAAACTTTTGGCTATTGTCAAAGCAACTCAGATCACACCTTATTTTTAAAGAAGAAACATGGTAAGATCACTGTGCTCATTGTATATGTAGATGACATGGTGGTTACAGGAAATGACGTGGAAGAAAGAAAAGCTCTACAAGATTATTTATTTGGAGAATTTGAAATGAAAGGCCTAGGTCCTCTTAAATATTTTCTTAGAATTGAAGTATCTCGATCAAATGCAGGGATCTTTCTATCTCAAAGAAAATATGCCCTAGATCTTTTACTGGAATGTCAAGATGTCAACCTGTTGATACACCAGTAGAGGAAGGTTTAAAATTGTGTGTAGATCCTAATCAAGTACCTGTTAATAAAGAGCGATACCAGAGACTTGTTGGAAGATTGATGTACTTAGCTCACACAAGGCCCTGATCTTGCTTATGCATTAAGCATTATAAGTCAATATATGCATAACCCGGTGAGCAACACATGAATGCAGTCATGCCAATTTTAAGGTATTTGAAATCTGCTCCAGGAAAGGGAATTCTATTCATAAAAAATTCAGATTATCAAAGCATAGATGCATACACAGATGTGGACTGAGCAGGATCAATAAATGATAGACGGTCAACTTTAGGATACTTCACCTTTGTATGTGGTAATCTTGCAACATGGAGAAGCAAGAAACAAAATGTTGTTTCTCGCTCAAGTGCAAAAGCTAAATTTAGAGGTATGGCACTAGCTCTTTGTGAAGCATTATGGCTGAGAAACCTTTTACAAGATTTGGGATATCCATCTAGACAACCAATTCGATTGTATTCTGACAACAAAGCAGCTTGTGATATTGCCCATAATCCTGTTCAGCATGATTGTACAAAACATGTTGAGGTGGACAGATTTTTCATTAAGGAAAAGCTGGACAGGACATTTTGCAATTGCCTGAGGACCAATTGGCTGATATTCTCACTAAACCAGTCTCAAATTGAGTGTTTTCTGCATTTTTAGTCAAGTTGGGCATGTGTGACATCTATGCACCAACTTGAGAGGGAGTGTTAAATTGTTGTTGATTGTCAATTATATAAATTCCTTCTATATTTAGAATTTGTCAATAATATGTTTCCTGTAAATTAATTATAGATAGCTCACTAGATTAATAGGAGAACGTAAGTTTAAAAGGAAAAATCCTTATATATTGAATGTATACCTTTTGTCTTGATATGTGAAAAAATAAGGAAATTTTCAAAACCCTACAACTATGCCTCTGGTTGTGTCTTTCAAGACTGCATCACATTTAGAGAGTATTAACCTAGATTCATTTCTTTTGATAGTCTCGATCTCTTAGAATTTTTCTCAGCCCTTTCTTCTCCCTTTAATTTCCATGGCTGATGGAAAATGTAGTCTCGTGGTAAGAGTCAGAGTCGGTGTAACCTTATTGTTGGTAACCACTTCTCTTTTGTTCATGTGACTTTTATTAATGCAAGGGGAGAAGGGAGAGTTTTCTTTTATATGTATTTACAATTTTACCCCACTGACCCTATCCTTCATAATTAACAACTGTCAGTCTTTGACTTATCTGTTGCGCAAATATTTATGCAAATTGTAGTTTGTAATGTCCTCCTTTTAAGATGAGTCGCAAAAGAAAGATGACGTTACTGTAACAAATTTGTGGAAGACTTGGAAATGTTAATTTTGAATTAGAGTTGACCAAAAAAAAGGGGAAAAGGAAATAGAAGAGTCTTACAATTGGATGTGCCTTCTGTTTATGATGTGCATTTACACACATAGTATCTAAAAAATATCATTATTCTTAGTTATTTATTCAATATCATTGAGTCTAACACCCTAACTAATATATATTTTATTTTTGTCAGAAGAGTTCGGAAAGTAATTGCGATGCACAAGAACATTGATTATTCATTGCAGTCTTTTTTATGAAATAGTGCTGCCTTACACGGGTCGAAATGTTCTCTCAAAGTCCACTTGTTCATATTTATATAGAGGTGACGTTAATATTTGTTTAATAGAAACCTATGTATAAATATAATGCTCTGCCTGAGTGAATTTGTGATGTCAAACTTTTAGACAGTAAGGTCAAATGAAACTGCTTCTTCATTTTATTAAACACCTGGTATAGTAGATCTTGCTCCAACCCTCATGAACAAGAGTTGAATCGGATCCCTAACCAGCTAAAGCATCAATGTGGTAAGATCATTCAAGGTCAGTAATTGTTGCTATACAGTGATATCATTTATTTTTGGTCATAAATCATTAGGTTGAAAAAATAAATAAATATTGAGTGAAATTGCAAATATAAGTCTCTATCTGATAGGATTTCAGGTTTGAGCCCTAACCTATCAGCTTTGAATTAGGTAAATGTAAGTCTTATGTTTACTTTTTAAGTTGGAGGCTTTCCCTGCATTAGATTGTGACACCATCTCCTACCCTTAATTTTTTTCATACCCAAAATAAGAAAAATGCAGTAGCAAAAGATGATCCAGTAGAGACATTGCTATAGCATACATCATGATATTGTCCTCCCTCTCATTCTGTATAACTTATATTTTGACTTTGTATATTTGAAATTCTGTTTTCTAACTTCTTTGATATTTCCCTTTCTTTTCTCTCCTTTTTTAACTTTGCAGTTACCTTGTGGCTCCCTTTTTGCGATATCCAAGTTTATAGTGACAGAGGAAGATCCATAGTGCACTTGTTCCAATCCAATGGCGTATTCTTTTGCTGGAGCTTCTCAAATAAGATATGCTGTATTTCTTTGTCTCTTGCTTATTTCCATATTGTGTTACAAAATAATTCTGAAGTTTATAGAGTCATTATATACGTTTTTTAATTCATAAATGTAAGCACTGCTTCTTACAAAATAAGCCATATTAGGAACGTAAAATAAATCACAATGTATTTATGGTTCAAAGCATATAGATTCTTATATCTTTTTTAAAAGTTCTATATAAGGTGTTCTTATATGATTCTGTACCTTTATATCACACCTTAGTTTTTATTGCAGAAAATGTCATTCAGTACTGAAGAATTACCTGATAGAATTTGTATTTAAATATTGACGTTTATGTTGTCTAGGATAATTACAAGGTCAAGAAATGGACTTAAATCCCTAGACATGTTCCTCATAATTTTGATTGTCATCAGTTGCATATTGTTTTGCGTAAACAAATGGTTTCCAAATTTATTTTAGAATTTAATATATTTTTTTACCTTAAGTGTGTATTGAATTTTAATTAATTACTTATATTTCTGATGTAATTTTTTATGTATCAGTTAGTTTGAAATTTTAGCTTTGATTACTTGAAAATACATTTGGGCATTATCTGGCTTTAATTACAGATTGCATGATACAAAACTCAATGTATGCAAGATTTGTATTTTCAGGAGAAAGAATTTCTTTTTTGAGTTATAAATTATAACTACTTAGGATTACCTCTAATTCTGTTCTTGTCTCGTTTGCCTAGAGACAATGTTGGCCTTCTGGAAATGAGGCATTGCCTAAAGGAATTGTTGCCAGAACATCTAACTTGGAAATGCGGTTATGGGACTCTGGTATATACAATGTATGTGAAATGTGTTCTCGATTCACAGATAATGCAGATCACACTCGAGTGTGACAATTTGTTATGCTATGTAGAATAGCTTGTTAGTTGTTAATGCTTTAAAAAATTATATAAATTCTACTCTTAGAAAATGTTCTCGTCTATGAGAGCAAAAGTAGCAGTATGAAATCAAATGACTATAGTACTCTCGTAACATATATCCTTCCAATTCTAATTGATGTTTTTAGAAACATTATATTCTTATTTATCTGTGCTTTAATGGTTTAACATGGAAGTGAAGGTTCAACTTTCTTTTGTGTGTTCCTATTGATCTTTACTTTTCTCCTTCAATTCTTCTTGATTATCTTTTGGCTAATCTTTTTCACTTTAGAGAATTTCAAAGCGCCCATTGAACTTTCTGGCCATTGCAAAAGGAGGGAGGAAGAACAAATTTGTCAATAAAATTGTTGCAAAGGTGATTATTATTTTACTTAAACAATTTGATTTTGATCCAAAGCTCATATTATCTATTGGTTTGTACTGTTGAATGTTGACAGTTCACTTTAAATGATTTTGTTGTAATGTTTAGTTTTTTAAATTTTTTTATTTTATGAATTCATTGCAAATTTTAATAGAAGGATGAAAGAATTTTGTTTGGAGTAATAGTGTATCTGCTATCAATGTGGCATATATACATGGAAGAACTTATGGGTTTATTTATTTAATTTTCCCGCATTTTTTGTTTTAGTTGGGTATATATGCAGGTTAGGATGTATTTGAACACTGCGTGTTTAAGTTCTTATTCAATAAACTTCTTCTAAAGTAATTATTTATATCATAAATCTAACAATAGAACTTATTGGGATAAGTTAAAAACAACTTATTTGGATAAGTTATACCAACATCCTTTTTAAAGACAAGCTAAAAAATAGTTTATGAGAATATAAATTATTTTTCATAAACTGTTCATAACCTATTTCAAACAAGCCCTTGGATGATAAGTTATTTCCTCAAGAGAGACAGAAAATTGTTAGGGATTGTTTGGTTTTAAAAAATGTTCTGTTTTCTCTTTTAATTACAAAAGTAACACTTTTATTTACATATATTGTCTAATGTATGAAACTGACTTGAGAGAACTTGAGTTATCAGTTTAAAATTTCCAATCATAGGTACTCAAGATTCGTAAGTTTTCTGCAGGGACACTTTTCTCAACATAAATTCTTGACCCAGATATGAACTACACCTAACAACACCCTTACTTTATAGGATATTTTATTTTCGTTAAAAATGTTAGGTAATCCCCTTTTGGCAATTCATTCGATTGATCTTCTCTATGATCAATTCACTAATACATCCATACCTTTCTATATGCACCTGCTTTATGTCTTCTATACATCTTCCTTAACCACTGGAAATTTACTTTTTAAATTTGTTCTTTATTCTGAATCATGAATTGAAGTTCATCATAAATGGTTGCCAAAATAATATTTTGTTATTTACTGAAAATTTCTTAATGTAGATGCAGGGTATCTTTATTTCTTTTTTTTTTTAAAAAGTAAGATTTGAGCTGACTCAACTCTTGAACTTTTGGTATGATCCAGTTTGAGTTAGACATATATAAATTGGCATTCTTTTTCAAATATTATAGAAAACTATATTAACAATAAATTTTGCATGTTGTGAAAAGAAAAAAAAAAGATTGTAAACTAGAATATTTTTTTAAAATATTGCAAAAGCATATGTATTTGTATTTTTAAACATTATCAAGAAAATTCAAATTTGGAAAATGGTTTACCTATTATTAGTGATATATCAAATTAGCAACACTTTTTTCATAGTTTAACGTTACCTTTTAAATGTTGTTATATTTGAATTGTGTTATTGATCACATATTTGTCTTTTGCCTAATCTAATCTATCTTTTTTAACAAACTAAAGGCAGAAGCAGGGAAACCAATGTCCGACAATGCTCCTCAAATAAAGTATGATGTTTTTGTTAGCTTTAGAGGTGAAGACATCCGCAGTGGTTTTCTTGGTCATTTGAGTGAGGCATTTTCTCAGAAGCAAATATATGCCTTCATAGATGAAAAACTCAAAAAAGGAGATAGTGTTTGGCCATCACTTGAGAAAGCAATTGAAGGATCTTTTATATCTCTGATCATATTCTCAAAAAATTATGCTTCTTCAAGTTGGTGTTTGAAAGAACTCGTGAAAATACTTGAGTGCAGAGACAAATACAAACGGATTGTAATACCTGTTTTCTACAATGTAGAACCCACAGTTGTTCGGCATCAAAACAAATTTTATGCAATTGCATTTGTTTTTCATCAAATAAAATATGGTTTGTCCATGGTAAAATTATGGAAAAAGGCTTTGGAGGATTCTTCTAATTTATCTGGAATTAAGTCAACAGATTTTCGGTAAGCTTTTTTCTCCTCAATAAATGTTAAATATTTACTCTCTCAATTTTTTTAATAGCAATTTTCATATTATTAGAAGCTAGTTGTTTTAGATGTAGCCTTTAAATTGTTTTTACAGGAATGTACAGTGGTTCGTTATTGTTTCCAAAAATGTTAGTAAATTCCGCAACTAATTTGTGCAAGAACTTAAATGAGACTAGTCATGCTTTGTTGCTCCACTACTGAATTTAGGGGTTTAAATTAAACCCAAATAATACATTCAAATTTCTTTCAGTTTCCAACAAGACTCTTTTTCTTGGTTCTTGACAGTCTGTTACGGGATCTCAGCTAAGGTAGAAAGGAAAGAAAAAACATGTCCAAATGCACATTGAACCCCACATCACTAACTTCAATCCAAATGAACTGATAGTAATCGTATTCAAATAATTTCATGCATTTCTTTTTACTTTTTATTTTTTTTGGGTTGTATAGGAATGATGCTGAGATGCTTGATGAAATTGTCAAGCAGGTGTTGATGAGGTTCAGTAAACACCCGATTAATATGAAAGGACTTATTGGAATTGGCAAACCAATTTCAGATATAGAATCATTGTTATGTCAAGAGTCAAAGGATGTTCGTGTTATCGGAATTTGGGGTATGGGTGGTATTGGTAAGACAACAATTGCAGAAGAAGTGTTTAACAAACTATATTCTAAATATGAAGGATGCTGTTTTTTGGCAAATGTAAGAGAGGAATTAAGGAGAAATGGAATAATTTCTTTAAAGGAACAGGTTTTTTCTACCCTACTAGGAGAAGTTGTGAAAATTAACACTCCAAATGGATTGTCTGATTATATTAAAAGAAGGATTGGGCGTCAGAAGGTTCTTATTATTCTTGATGATGTGAATGATTCAGATCAAATAGAAATATTGTTAGGAACTCGTGATTGGTTTGGAGGAGGTAGTAGAATAATTATAACAACAAGAGATAAGCGAGTGCTCATTGCTAACAGAGTTGATGATATATACAAGGTTGACGTATTGAGCAGCAGTGATGCACTTAAGCTTTTTAATTTGAAAGCATTTGACCAAAATCAGATTAAAGTGGAGTATCATGAGCTTTCTAAGAGGGTTGTCAATTATGCCAAAGGTATTCCACTAGTTCTTGAAGTTTTGGGTCGTCTTCTTTGTGGTAAAGATAAGGTAGCATGGGAAAGTCAGCTGGAGATACTTGAAAAAATGCCAATTAAAAAAGTTTATGATATAATGAGACTAAGTTATGACGATCTAGATCGTAAAGAGCAAAAAGTTTTTTTAGATGTTGCATGTTTCTTTACTGGATTAGATTTAACAGTGGACTACATAAAAAGTCTATTGGAAGATCAGGAAAGTGATAATTCAGTGGCTGTTGTGTTAGAAAGGCTGGAAGATAGAGCTCTTGTAAGTATTTCTAAGCATAATGTTGTGTCTATGCATGATATTATACAAGAAATGGCTTGGGAGATTGTTCGCCAAGAATCTAGTGAATCGGGAAGACACAGCCGATTGGGGGATCCTGATGAAATATATGAAGTACTGAAAAATGACAAGGTAAGAGTCTAAGTTAATGTAACATCTATTTTGTAAACAACTAGTGAATATTTTTGTTGGAAATGACTTTTTATGGTGTTTATAATTTCTTCTACTCTGATGGCAGGGAATGGAGGATATTAGAAGCATAAAGTCACACTTGCCTGCAGTAAAGAAGCTGATGTTATGCCCCAACATATTTGCTAAGATGAGGAAACTACTGTTTCTAGATTTTCGCTATACAGATGGACTAGAATCTGTAGGTCTTTTCCCTCAAGGGCTTCATTCTTTGCCAATGGAACTAAGATATCTTCGTTGGGAATGTTATCCTTTTAAATCCTTGCCTGAGCAATTTTCTACTGAGAAACTTGTTGTATTAGACATGTCATATAGCCAAGTGGAAAAGCTTTGGTCTGGAGAGAAAGTAAATATATGTTCTTTCCTATTATATATTTCTCTTAGCTCTGTGAATGCAAAATTAATAACTTGAGTTCATGTTATCTTGTTTTATTTTGTTGCAGAATCTGATGAAATTAAAAGAAATCATACTTCAACTTTGCCATTTAAAAGAGCTGCCAGACCTTTCAAACGCTGCAAATCTTAAAGTATTGGATGCGAGAGGTTGTTATCAGTTGACAAGTGTGAATCCATCTATTTTATCTCTCAACATGCTTGAGAAATTAGATCTATGGTACTGCATTTCCCTTACCAGACTTTCATGTGATTCCCACTCAAGCTCCCTTCGATATCTTAACCTTAAGGAATGCAAGAATCTAAGGGAATTCTCAGTGACATCAGAGAATATGATTGAACTTGATTTATCTTGCACTCAGGTCAATGCATTGCCCACAACTTTTGGATGTCAAAGAAAGCTTGAACACCTAAACCTTGCATTGAGTTACATTGAGAGCTTGCCTTCATCCATAAAAGATCTTACAAGACTGCAATATCTTAATATAAGTTATTGCGAGAAGCTTCAAATTCTTCCCGAGCTTCCCCCATCCCTTGAAACTCTACTTGTCAACGATTGCACATCGTTGAAGACTGTATTGTTCCCTTCAACAGTTGCTAAACAATTCAGTGAAAATAGGAAAAAGGTTGAGTTCTGGAATTGCTTGGACTTGGATGAACATTCTCTCATGGCTATTGGGTTGAATGCGCAAATCAACATGATGAAATTTGCATACCAACATTTATCAGCTTCAAAGCAAGATTACAACGAAAATTTTGGTGATCAAGCAATGTATTTGTATCCAGGAAGCAATATTCCAGAGTGGATGATGTATAAGACAACAGGGGATTATATAATTATTGATCATTCTTCTGCTCCATCATGTCCTATATCAGGCTTCATTTTCTGTTTCATCCTTGGCAGAGACGGGAGAAAATTTTGGTGTCATAAATTGCAATTTAACATCATTATTAGTGACGATGAAGGAAACAGGGACGTTATCAAAATAAACTCGTCTATGACATTTTTTCAGATTGTAGCAGATCATGTGTGTTTGATATATGACCAACGTTGTTCTTGTTCCCTAAATAGCATCACCAAAAATCTGCCAAAGTTTAAAATCAAGGCTACGGCATGGTTTACCTCCATATTCGAAGGTTTTGGTAGTCCAAACAGGGTGGTATTAAAAGGGTTTGGGGTCAGTCATGTAAATACTTCAGATTATCACAAGACCGTTCAACAAATGGATTAGTGTGACTAAATATTTTTCACTTTTCCTTGGCTTTGGTATTCACATGAAAATCTTATTAGGCACATCTGTTGTATGTCAAACTTGGCTGAATATTGGTTCAAACATTATCTCGTTCTGTTAATTTGTTGTACTTCATACGTTGTTTTCCCATTTGTTTATAGCTATCACGAATAATTGATTATTCAAATGTCAATTGCTTCCCTTTCTCTTTTGATTCCACTTATTTATTTATTTGTTTTACTTACACAAATATAATACTTAAACCTTTTAATTTTTTAATCTGTAACTTACATAAACATTTGTCATGAGACATAAGTTTTTAAAAAATAATCTTTTGTGAACATGCTAACTTACATTTGCCATAAATTGATTCCACATTTCATTTTTGTAAGTAGTATGTATCTGTTCGTGATCATGAGCAAGTGTATCGGTAAAAAAAAAACATAATTTTTTTTTGAAATAAGTTCTCTAATTATTGTCTCACAATAATAGTTTTCAATTACTAAGAGGCGTGTGCTGGGGTACCCTAACAATTTTTTATAGGTATAGTACCCAAAAAATTTAGACTAATAAAAAAGAGACACATATCAAGTTAAAAAAAATTATTATATAATTTATTTAAAGTTATATTATTTATATTATTTGCTACATAGTCTTATTATTATTATTATTATTATTATTATTATTATTATTATTATTATTATTATTATTATATATATTTAATTTTTTATTTATTATTTTATAAATTTTGTTTCAAATAAAATATAATTTATATTAACTTTATTTAATAATAAATTGTTATATTTATTATATTTAAATAATCTAGGAGCAGTTAAATTTTTGAATAGGAATAAGATACAATCAAAACTAAATTAATTAAATTTTTAAAAAAATAATAATATTATATTAATATATTTTTATATTCTTAATTTTATTATTGTTAATATTTAATTATTTAATTATTATATTAATATATTATGTTATAATTATATTTTATTTAAAATTTTTTATAAAAATGATAAAAAAATAAAATAAGAAATTAAATATACAATATATATATATATATATGTATATAGTAAAAATATGTAACGAATAATATAAATAATATGACTTTAAATAAATTATATATAATAATTTTTTTAACTTGACACAAGTCTTTTTTTTATTGGTCTAAATTTTTTGAGTTTGTACCCATAAAAAAATTTTAGGGTAGCACAGAATTTACCTGATTGTTTGAATAATGAAATTTATATTAAGCGTATTTAAAATAAAATAATTATCAATGCAATTTAAAACAAGTAATACAACACACTTTTTTACTGAACTTAGAGAGGAACTTAGAGCATGCGAGTTTATTCATTCAATCATTTATGTTATTCTTCTATTTAAATATAATTTTCTTATAATTACCGATTATTCATACAAATACTATAAATACTCAGTGGTTATATAATATTAATATTCTTTTATCTAAATTAACATCCACAATATGTAAAATTAAAATTTTCATGGATCTAATTTTATGAATTTAAAAACACCAATTGTGGAGCAAATGTAAAGTTATTTACTTGTTGCAGACATTGTGAATTGTACGTAGACAACTTATGCGAGATACGACTTCTTCGTTAGTGAAAAGTTAAGATCTTCCTTTGCCAAGTCACGCTCTCTAAATCCTAGGTTCTCAGTGAAAAAAACCTAGAAAGCAATGAAATGTGTTTCCGTGATGACAAAGTGGACTTAGCCATTGTATGTATTAATCCTAAGCACTTCTCATTATGGGCCTATATATTAGGCCCACGTAGATTAGTATTAAGTATCTAAAGCCTATAAGTAATTAATCATATTATTAGTAGTAGGCTTAAGTATCATCAAATGGATAACAACATTAGCCTATTTTTGACAAAATAAAAATGACAATTGATTGTAGCCCATAATGAGTTTTATAGAAAATTCTAAAATAATGGTCATGTAAGATATCAATTAAAGAAAACATAAAGCATATATAAACTTGTTAGTTTAATAATGCTTAGAAGATAAAGATTAGTTTAGTCCACTTAATCTTTTGTCTCGTTTTATCTGAGAGATCCATTAACTAATCGTGATACGGTCGCCTATGATGTAATTAATTAGAGTTATATTATAAATGGCCAATTTATAACATACAATTATGCCTAGTAGGACAAACACTAATTACAAACGAAAATTAAACTTAGATTTAAATATCAAAATTACATAAATTCATGATCAAGAGTTTCTATAACCCTAACTATGAACTTAGTTACTCATGCTAGATAAAAGAATTAAAGTAATCATAAACAACTAGATAAAAGAATTAAAGCAATCATAAACAAAGTCATAGTCGAAAGAAAATAGCAAATTAGATTATCCCCAATGGTTAGGGATGAGAAGAGTTTTTAGTCTTCAAGTACAATCATTCAAAGTTCCAAGTTCCGTTGAGAATATGCTAAAGATCAAGAACAGAGTTGTGAAAAAGATGTGTCAAAGGCATGGAAGGAATGATATTAAAAGGATGAAAAGGATGATGAATTGTTGCCCCCAAGGTCTCTTTTAATAGGGTTTGAAAACCCTAAAATTTCTTCAAGTTAGACTTCTCATAGGTGAGTATGGCCGTACAAAGGCATAAGCACGGTCATGCATGTGATTGAAATCCATGCTGACTGCTAGGGTTTAAGTATGTTGACTGCTGCGAAGCCCTATTTTTTGATCGATTTGAGCCCAAAATGCACCAAAAACTCAAGTTTGGCCTTTTCATATTAATTTACACAATAATCATAGAAATTAGTGAAAAACTTAAGTAAAATAATGACCATTAATCAATATATAAGCTATAAAGCATTACAAAATACAGATTTATTAATATCACTTAAAGCATATTTGAAACTTCATTGAAACCTCTGTTGCATCAAAGCATCAAAAGTAAAAAGAATTTGCTTCCTAAAAGTTTTGCTGAGAGTGCGACAAACAGGGTAAAACAGAGGTTTTCCTTGTATATAGACTGATCCTTAATCAAATTGAAAAACTAAAATCAACAGACTAAGTCATTATTAAAATTCCAACCATTCTTGAAAACAAAGTTCAACCAAAAGCAGACAATTATCAGGCTATTGATTAATAAAAGATTTGTTATGAATGATTGTAAGCTACTATTTGGTGTTGTAACATCCTCGTTTTTGCTAAATGATTAATTTATTAATATAGTTCTAAGTTAAAGTATAATATTTGATTTTTTGAAGAAAAATTGTAATAGAATTAGCATGAGATGCTTTATACAAAATTGTTAGGTATATTTTTAAGAAATTTTTGATAATTTTTAATTTTAAAATTTTTAAGTTTCAAAAAGTGTCAATTTATATTGGTTAAAATTGTTGTATAAAGTTAAAAATAATATTTTATTTTAAAAATAATAATAATAATAATAATAGTAAAAATTATAAAAAATTTATAATTTATTTATAAATATTATTTAGAATATTAAAATAATTTTTTTTAATAATTAATGAGCATTTTTAGATTTTTTGATTAATTTTACGTAAATTAGTTATATGTTCAAGCAGAAATTGCGTGTAAAAATTTTGGACACCAACTAAAGTATCAATAGTGTCAAAAATTATTTTATAGTTATGTTTAATATATTTCATGATTATTTTTAAATTTTAGGATTTTTATCTAATTATTTCAATTAATTACTAAAACAATTAGTGAAAATTCTAATATTATATTATTATTTTCACTATTTAAGATAAGATCAAATCATCCAATTCATTTTCTTCTCTCTTGGCTGCCGTAAGTGCTCTTCTTCTCCTTCCAAAACCTTTAAAACTTATTTGACTCTAATCTTTTGATTTTCCAAGTAAGTTCATTAAATTTTTTTAATATTCCATCTATTTTCATCATTTTGAACACTTTGAATCGATTAATTTTTTTATTTTCTTCCTCTTTTTGGGTGCTGGAACAGTGGCATGAGGGTGAGATTTTGTCCAAAATTTTTGTTTCTAAATTATGTTTTAATTAGCTTAATCCTTCTATATTTTATAATAAATAATTTTGGTGCTTTTTGTTTTGTTAAAAATGCATTTGAGGGTTCAAAATCCTTGGTCTAGAGGTGCTGTTCCAAGAGTATTATGAGGGAAAAATAATTGTTTTTAATCACCTTTAGGCTTATAGTATTCCATTTACATCATAGAAAACAACTGTAAGACCCGTAAGTCATTTTTGCGAAGATTATAAAATGAAAGTTTCAACTCACTAGTAGTGGGTTGGGTAATTAATGTCTCTTACCATTAATCATGATTATATGTGATTATTTGGTTAGGATCATGATTTGAGAAGTGGTGGAAAGAGGACGTCCGTGAGAAAAATCGGTATACACTTCAAGGTAAGGGGGGACATATCTATTTTCACGGATATAGTAGAAAAACGTTGGGAGATGGGTGTTTTATTCTTTACTATGTATATATGAATTATTTGAAAGAATTTATAATTATTTCCATACTTAGTGTATAATTGTTTGATATTCCTTTTTGAAATTGATTTTATGTGTGATGATGCTTCTATGATAATTGTTTGTTGAATTCAGTATAAATAATTGATTACCTAAAATACTTGAGGAATGAACTATCATTCATGTGGAGTGAGCATATAGAAGGTCTGTTGAAAGTTGAAAAGAATTGGAAAATTGCGAAATAAAGATATTAAAAAAAAAGGAAGATTTGAGATAAAATTTGATGGGTTTTGAAAAGTGTTTTAGAAATTGATAAATGGAATTGTGGTTAATTTTCTTCTTAAAAAAATGATTTTTTTAATAAAAATCTTCTTTAATTTCAAGTGGTTTGATTAAAATTTATTTAATAGTTTTTATATATTTAAAATATACCTATATACATATTTAAATAATTTAAAGGATTTTAATTCATTTTAAAGTATTATTTTAAATGGGTATTTTGAAATGTGGTGATAATTGGAAAAAGGTATTTGAGAGC